TTTTTGCAAGAGACATCTATAGCATAATTATGATTATTGTAGGTGGGGTTGATATTCATGATATCAATGTAGGACTACAACATTTACTAATCATTTTTTTATTATTAATTATGAAACATGTACATATAAAATGTCTAATAACAAATATACAATATAAATACGTGGAACTCACACCAACAAAGCCAAAATTAACAATGTGGGTACCACATTAGTGGCACATGAAATTATGTCAATCTTTTCATTTGATAAGTAAACTAACAAAATAATCAAAATATAGAGTTTACAAGACCAATAATTAATCAAGGCCTGTTTCGCATGTCTTTTTATACGGTTTGTTGGCTGTTTATAAGTTGGGTAGACCGATTTTTTGTCTATTCCCATTTGGTTCGCGAAAGATCTAGTCGTCAAAAGTCAGAGCATCGAAAAGATGCGAAAAGTTCATTTTAGGCTAATTTCAGGAAGCTCCAAATAAAGCTTTTTGCGTCTTTTGTGTTTTATTCTTGTGCGGAAAGACATGCATCTTCCAAACTGCAATGTATCTTTTGACTGTCAGAGCTACCAGAAAATCTGCCCAAAAAACTTGCTAAGTTAAACTCATTCCAACTAAACATAGAAAAATAGCCTCTTACCTTTTGAAATACAACATCAACATTCCAATTCAAATTCCTATTTATATATACAAACTTAACAAATTTAAAATTTCCAAACAAATTTGATATTATCCAAAAGATCCTAGTGCTATTAACACAAAGAAGAGCCTCAAAAATAACTATTTACTCTTTCTCTGGTACTTCTCTACTCATATGAAACGAAGAACTTGCAACAACAACAAATTTATCTTCATCATCAAAACTTAATACAAACCCAAAGAACCAACATAATTACCAATAGTACCACCATCACCATAAATAGTATAATTGCTACATTTTTGTATTTTTTATTTGGGGAGTGCTATAGGACTTTCTTCTTGTACATGTAATATGTAGTGGCAATATTTAAAATGAGATGGCAAAAAAAAATTCTATAGTTTGGGGCCTTGGGCTAATCATGGGATAGAAAAAGCCCAACATTGTCCAGACTAATTACTTTTGATCAAAAACATGATTAAATGAAAATTTGAAATTGTTTTAGTATTTTTAACAGAAAAGTTGAAATTGGCATTTGAAGCTTTTTTAACAGAAAAGCTTCTGCATTTCTATAGACTTCGCTCTTCTTGTTTGCATCTTATATTGGCATTTGATGACTTATTACCGATCCGGGTGCTTGAGAATTCCAATAAGAAGGAATGGGAGAGCGGTGAGGGAGAAAGCTTGAGGTTTAGTGTTGAGACATAGACTTGTTCGCGGGGTGGGTTTTTGGCCTGACTTTACGTTATGTTAGGTTTTGGATCAAGTTTATTTAAAATTTGACAAAAGCCAAGCTCGAACTGACCCATAAACAGGTCTTGAGAGTTATTGTTTGAGCAGGATTTTTATTGTGTCATGTGCCAGGTGATGCCTTAGGATTATGTTAGGGTAGTTGTTGGGAGCAAATCAGGACTCAATATCTATATCTCCCTATTTCAGGAGTTCACATCTGCCCCCACAGAATGCACCCCAAAACGCCCCACATGCACATCTCAGTGTGCATTGAGAGCATCTCCCATTCTTGTCATTGGGAGATGTTCCCAATACATGATTGGGATGTACTGTAGGAAGTTTTTGGGGCCCATTCTGTGAGGGGGCAGATGTGACCTCCTATTTCAGATGTAGGGTCAGATATTGTGCTGTTAGAGTAATAAAAAAGCCTTTTGCAATCAGCAGATCCAAACTCATTCCCTATGGCCTATGCTAGTAGCATCATGGTCAAAACTAGGGGTGCAAGCTGGACAGCCTAGGTTGGGTTTAAGGTCAACCTAGGCCTAACTTTAAAAATTGGGTCTACTAAACAAGTTTGGCCCAAGATTGAGGTTAAGACCAAATTATTTAATTCATGCTTAGGTGGCGTTTGATAAATCTGAAATCTGAAATCTGAAATCTGAAATGTTAAAAATGTATTAAAAGTGAAAAGAGAGATAGTTGCTTTTGGCTTTTTAAAGGCTTTGAATAAAGAAAGTTCTTTGTGTTGGATCAAACCTTCAACATCTTAAATTCATTGATTTTACTACTTTACCCCTAAAATAGGCTATTTGGTAATTTTGAGTTCAATGTGCATTATTTCATAAAAAATAATTTATTAAAATAAAAATAAAATTAAAAAATACATATCAATTTATAAATTAAAAATAAATTATTATGAGTTAAAATAATAATGAAAATAGTAATAAAGAGCATAAAGCAATAAAAAATTTAATAATTATCAAATTAATACCTTAAAACTATTAAAATATTTAATGATTAATAAAAAACAAAATATTTGATAATTAATGCAAATATAATTTACAAAAAATAAAAAAAAAACTTATTAAAATAATATTAAAATTGGAAAGAACCACCGCTACTGCTGAGAGTTGCAGTGGCAGTGGCTGGAAGATAGGAGAGAGAGAGAGAGATTGAATGTGGTAGGGGTAATTTCAACTTTAGGCCACAGATGAAACGTGCCTGAGTGCATTAAGTGACGGACCTAAATCTTACAATTTTAGATCTGAAAAAACTTTTCAAATCTTTTTCAGATACAACACCAAATAAGCATTGCGTCTGAAAAACATATATTTCATTTCATACTTCAAAGGTCTGAAAAGTGTTGTCAAATGCCACCTTAGTCTATATTGAATTTTGATGCACTTGGATTGGGTTCATATCTAGTCAAGGTGACAAGCTTGAATTGATCAACTGATACATACTAAAATTTGATATAAGTATATGCCCCCGTACGTAAACTTGTATGCATATAATATGATTTATTAAAGAAATTAAGGTAAATTACAAAGACTCTCCCGTACTATGGGGTCTGTGACAAAGACCCCCCTATACTATGACTATGAGACAAAGACCCCCCTTGATCGTTAAGTCAGATGACGGAATGCATTAAATTACCAAAATACCCACTAAACTTTTTCTATTTTCTTTTTTTGCCCTTTTTCTTTTAAAACCTATTTAACCTATTGTTTTCCCTTTCTTCTCTTCTTTTCCCCTCCCTCACCGTCTTCTCTCATTCTTTCTCTCTCAACTCTCCCAAATGAAAGGATAGAAGAAACCCATTTCTCATCTTTCCTTTATTCTCTTCTTCTCTTTAATCTCGTCTCTATAGCCGTACTGACCACATGCTTTTTGCATAAAGGAAAGGAGGATGATGAACAAAGCAAGTGCTGCCAGTACTCCAACGATTATTGCCACCGTCCTTCTGGTTTAGTCATCGGTGGAGGTATGTGTAGGCATGCAGCCATAAAAAGCAAAGTAGTAAGGGGAATTTTTCTACAACTAAGCAAGTCTACTTGATGCCTTTCTCTCTCATCCATTGGTTTGTTGGGGTGCGATGAGAAAGCCAAAAAACCATCTTCATCAGAGAAAAGGAAATGCAGACACATATACGTATCTTTAAGAAGCACTAATTAATTATTTCGATATTTGAATGAAAGTGGAGGAGCTAATTAATGCCTTAAAGCTTTATAAAAGGAAGTCAATGGTAACCCTTCAAACATAGTTCTGTAAGATTTTTCTCTAGAAATGACTGCTCTTGCTGCGTAGTGGATATGACCTTATTGATCATCAACTGAAGCTTAGCTGCTTCTACGTCTAGCGGTACTAATTTATCTCTCTCTCTCTGTGAGATTTTTCTTATGAGGTTTCTACTTAACACACTCACAAGCAAAAATACAAGGAAAAATGCAAAAGAAGTAATACAAAATTATGAATTGCACCTGAAGGGAAATCATAGTAGCCAGAGGCCCAGTGTTGAGCATAGCACTGGGCCAAGTAGACATCGGTTGCTAACGCCGACCTGCATGCATTCTTCAGCTTCCCGACGGCTTCCGAAAGACATGAAGAACAATCGGCATAACTCAGATCCCCCAAACACTGAGCAAAACCCTCCACAGACCCCAAGATGCTAACTCGAAAACCATTTGCTCCCTGCAAGTCAGCAAGAACATCGTCCTTGCGCTTAAAGAACTCAACATCACTACTAGCATCGTGACTACATTTTTTGTATACCTGTGCCATGTCGAGTTTCCCCAGGAAGTTGGCATTGTCGTATCTTAGAAAGCACCCATCTAATTGTAAACTAGCTGCTATTGAGTAAGGGCACACCAAACTATTCTGGCTAATGGTGTTTTGGACACACCACAAACAATCACTTGTCTTCAAATCACCGCTGCATCCGCCGGCATTGAGGTGCCATTTGCTACTGTAAACTGTTATAAGCAGATTGAGAGGTTGAGATTGCAATGGAGGACAGTAGGGAGTTGAGGTTGGCTTCAAAGAGTGAGCTGGGTTGGTATTTGTCTGGAGAGCAGCGCCCCGTAGATGAAAGTATGAGGATTACCGCCTCACGATCCCATTCCCACATGGGGATTACCGCCGCTGTTCGTGAGGTCGGGGAAGATGAACAGTATTTTTTCATCCAAAATAGTTATTAATACGGAGATTAAAAAATATTGCAATGACCATTGGACGGAAGGCTAACGGAAAGGAATCTTTGTTTCACGGTAATAGTACAGGGGGTCTTTGTCACAGACCCCATAATACTGGGGGTTTTTGTAATTTATCTAAGAAATTATGCATATATAAAGAAATATCCATAGAGAGAGAGAGAACATATATGTACATAATTGGGCCTGCTGATTTGATTTGGATTACCAGAGACTAGGAGAGGGGCGAACCTAAAAAGTAAAAGACCCCAACTTTTGAGTCCATGTTAGCCCGATGACGGAAAGCCCAAGCGCAGCAGTCGTAAAATTGCGGCCTGGGTCGGTCCGAGATCGGGTTGGGCCCGTCCAAGTTACACCCCCAAGTCCAGGACGGACAACGGGACAAGGGAATAAAAAACACAAAACGATAAAATATTATCACGGGCATCGGGAGCCCATGACTCCATGATTTGCTTCTGTGCTTTTGTGGTTTTTACTCCGCCATCTTCGTCGCGAGCACTTCGACTTCGAGCCATGACTAGCATTTGCTGAACACAATTTCTGCGTTCTGCCTTAGCCCTCTATCCCTTCTCTATAGTCGTCGGTTGTCTTTGTCGCTGCTGATCGATTGCAATTATTGCTGCCGGCAGGTACCCCTTCATCTCTCTCTCCTCCCTTTAAATCACATAGCTGTGGCCGTCTACTCAAGTGTTCCTGGTGATTTATAGGTTTGTATCTGTATTGTCTTTGTCACCCTTATCAGTTCTTTGAGATCTAATTATCCTATTTTCTAATTCCATTTTTCGTTATTTATTTGTTGTTGGCGAGTTTTCATTTTCATAATTGATATTTCAGGTAGAGAAATCTGCATATTCTTGGCTATTTAAAATTCGTGTATCAATCAGTCGTACCTAAATATTGGCGTTTAAAGTTTGTTTTCTTACTCAACACCCATCACTTTTTTGTTCTTTTGTAATTGATATAATTTTTAGTAATTTTTTCTTCCTAATTGATAAATTCATTCTTAAATTATGTCTTACTTGCAGTCGTAACCTGTTTGTTTTCAGTCACTCTTTTTATTCTTTCCTTTTCTATTGTTTTGCTTACTGACAACTCGAGATTATGCGTGTTTTTCCCCTTTCATGTCAAATTAGTATTTAAGCCCCCCCAATCCATGTTGCCTTGTACTTTTTTCAATTTGGTTACTTTCTCAATCTTGTTTTACTTTTTTATTTTCTGGGGAAAATCTTGTTAACATTGCATTACTAATAATTTCTAACTCCATCCTTTTTTTTTTTTTTCATTCTTCCATAGATAAAGCAACTCCCAACTAATGAGACTGAGCTTCTCTTAATGGAAGTAGATCTTGATGTGTCTGTAGATGGAAGTAAAACTAATGATGTTGGGCAGAATGTGGATGGAATTATAATGAATGACGGAGATATTCATGGTGAAGATGAAGGTGGTGTGGATTTTCCTCTTCCATGCAAAGGAATGGAATTTGGTTCACTTGAGGAAGCATATTCCTTTTACAGAGAATATGCTAGGATTGTAGGATTTGACACTTTAAAGAAAAGCACTTCATGCGGAAGGAATAGGGAATTCACCCATGCAACTTTTGCATGCTCTAGAGAAGGGAAAAAGAAACAGACAATAGGAGTCAGAAACCCAAGACCTTGCTATAAGGTAGGTTGCAAGGCATCAATGCATGTCAGTAGAAGGAAACATGGAAAATGGGCAATAAATAACTTCAACAATGAGCATAACCATGAGCTCCAGCCAATCCAAGCACGTTATCTTCGTGGCCGGAGGAGTACAAATCCAACTAGCAAAGATAATACAGATATTTTACATGCCTTTGGGGTTCATATTAGTAACATTTATGCTGCAATGGTGAAACAATGTGGTGGGTATCAAGATGTTGATTTTTCAGAAGACATGGGCGATCATTTCGACAGAGAATGCCGACTAGCAGTAAACAAAGAGGAGGCACAGGTTCTGCTTAATTACTTCACAAATATGCAAGAACACAATTCAAGCTTCTTCTATGCAATTGATTTGAATGATGAACAATGCCTACGGAATGTACTTTGGGTTGATGCTAAAGCGAGGCATGATTATGTTAATTTTGGTGATGTAGTATGTTTTGATACAACATATCTTACGAATAGGTATAAAATGCCATTTGCCCCATTTATTGGAGTGAATAATCACTGTCAGCCTACATTGCTTGGATGTGCTTTAATTGCAGATGGGACTACATCAAGATATGTATGGCTGATGAAGACATGGCTTAGAGCAATGGGTGGAGTAGCTCCAAAAGTAATTGTTACTGACCAAGATGATGCCATAAAAGCAGCAATTACACAGGTTTTTCCAAGTGCACGCCACCGGTTTTGTTTATGGCATATTCTTAGTAAGGTACCTCAGAATCTCAGTCATGTAATCAAAAGACATGTAAACTTTATGGGGGAATTTAAGAAATGCATTTATAGGTCATGGACAGAGGAAGAATTTGAAGACCAATGGCTCAAAATGATTCAAATATTTGAGCTTGGTGAAGATGAGTGGTTAAAATCTTTATATGAAGATCGTAAACTATGGGTGCCAACTTACATGACAGATACATTTTTCGCTGGGATGTCCACTGTGCAACGATCTCAAAGCATCTATGATAAGTATGTCCACAAGGAAACAACAGTGAAAGAGTTTCTAAAGCAATACAAAATTGTCCTGCAGGACATGTGTGAAAAAGAATATAGAGCAGATTATGATTCATGGCATGGAATACCTGTTCTACAAACTTGTTCACCTTATGAGAAACAAATGTCAACAACCTACACAACTGAAGTATTTAAGAAATTTCAAGTTGAGGTTTTGGAAATTGTTTCTTGCCAGGTAAGAAAAGAGAAAGAAGATGGGACCACAACAACATTTAAAGTCAAAGATTTTGAAGAACAAGACGACTTCATAGTGGCATGGGATGAGACAAAGTCGGTTATCTCATGTTTATGCCGTTGTTTTGAATATAATGGCTTTCTCTGCAGACATGCTATGGCTGTTCTCCATACTTCGGCTGTACCTAAAATTCCATCACACTATATATTGAACCGATGGACCAAGGATGTGAAAAGTGGGCAAGCCATGAATCAAATATCAGGGGAGCTGCAATGTAGGATACAAAGATGCAATGATATATGCCAACGGGTTCTCAAGTTGATTGAATATGGGTCAATATCTCAAGATAGCTACAATGTTGTAGTACGTGGAATTGTAGAAACTTTGATGCATTGTGAAAGCTTTTGCAATCCCATATAGAATGTTGCAAATCGTAATATATTAGCAAATCATGGTCCCCATGGCAACAAGAATCGTTTATATTCTGTTCCCTTTTCTTTTGAAAGAACCTTCTTTTATTTTTCATGAATAGCCTTTATAGGTTGATCCATTCATTCCCTTTTAGCTATAAGTAAGTTAAAACAATATGAGCTTGTTTTCTTCTCCATCAAAGTACTTAACATGTAGAACTGTAAAGGTAGAAGTTCAGTAAACTGGCATGTTACTAGAGATATTGAGTACCAAATTTGAGATGCTAGAATGTTTTGTTTGATTTTTTTCCCTTTTTTTACTGAAATTGGGCTTTCATGTTTCTTTGGCATCTAATGTATTTGGAGGCTTGGTTTAAGGTTTTATAACTCTCATTAGCTGTAGCTTTGGTTTTCAATTAATATAACCATTTTTTTATAATTGACATAAATGGATTTCATTCATTAAATGAAGAGAGAAAGAACCCCACTGTCACCAGACAGACAGTGTTGGCAATGCAAGACCAGATTTCATCTGTAATACAAGTTGATAATATAGTTGGCCTACAATTTACAGATCATTCCCTGGCCCTCGTAAGCCCCATTCAAGTTCTTGCCTCGACATCCCTGCTTTTGCTAAAAAACAATAGCCAGCCCATTTGCCATCCTAGGCATCAACTGATCCACCTGAATGAGCAATTCAGGTACCTCCCTGGATATTTAACTTCTCTTACTAAGAATCAGAACATCCATGGAGGTGGTTCTTCTTCTGTTGTTATCCATGAAATGACCACTTCATAGTTACCTTCTATAATCAAGTTCCTCCAGTTACGATGGTCAATCAATTTCAGCCCTTTAATCGTAGCCAAAGTTTCATCTCTCAAGTAGTTTCCAATTCCCACAGGCTCTGAGAAACTTAGCAAAATTCTACCTTATTCATTTCTTACCACACCTCCCACACCTGAGGCTCCTGGGTTGTCAAAACTGTAGTCATCGAGGTTAAATTTTAGCCTTCCTTTGGGGGCTGGTTCCCAGCTGGTATCTCTTGATGCAAGCCTATTGACAGCTCTAGCCATTACTATCCTATCATGAGATCCTCCATCTTGATGCCTTTTAATTCCTCCCAAATCAATACCCATTGCCCAATGTTCTATTTCACTTTGATTAACTTGATTAGATCCTCCACACTATGTTCTTTTGTAATTTTTCATTCTTCTTCACAAGCATGGTTCTGCATGAAACTTGTACATTTCAGCTGGTGTATAAATGCTTTGATCTAGTGTTTTAAAAGGCGTGAGAGGCGTACGTCTGGAGGCGCGCCTCCAGGCGAGGCACCCCCAAAACACCCTAAGGTGCAGCTGTGCAGGCCAGAGGCACTGACACCTCTGGGGCATACGTCTCAGGTGCAAGAGGCGTACGCCTCATGCACACCTCATATAAAAAGACAAAAAGAAAAAAGAAAAAAAGGAAAGGGAAGGGAAAGAAAAAGAAAAAGAAAGAAAGAGAAGAAAAGAAAAGAGAAAAAGAAAGAAAAGAAAAGGGAAGGGAAGGGAAGAATAGATAAGGGGAAAGAAAGTGGGCCAGAGGCTTTGCCCCCAGAGTCCCCAGCCCCCCTTTTCAGTGCAGCCCAATTTGTTTTTTTTTTTGTGTTCTCACTCGCTCACCTCCGCTTCGACAAGACCCCCCTTTCAACTAGTGCTATTCATCTTCATTCTTTTTAATATAAAAGATTTTTATTAAAAATAAAGAAAAATGGGATCCTCCTTCCTCTTCTTCCTCTTCCCCTTCCTCCTCCTTCCTCCTCATCCCTCTCCTCTTAAGGAGGCTTACACCTCTTACGTTCTGAGCTATGCCTCACGCCTTTAGGTAGTGGAACGCCTTGTGTCACGCCTCCGCGTTTTAAAAGATTGCTCTGATCTGCACCATGTACTTTATTCTCAGCAGTACTGCCTTCCCCCTCTCAAATTATATTGGCAAAATACTCCCACTGACATCAGCTTTCTTGTTATGTTTTTTCTTTAACTTACCAGCATGGATTAATGGATCCATGCTGGCACACTTTACAATATCAGACCAAAAACACAAAACACTCCCCAACTCTCATGATCCCTTTTCTTTTCCCTTCTTTTCCACAGTTATCCTCTCTCAAAACCAGACTAGTCTGGACAAGGGAATCCAAGACAGGATTGTGATCTCTTCTCTTCTTTGTTCTTTTCCCTCTCTCCTTTCCCCTTATCGTCTTTGTCATGAGTCTTCTTCCTTCTCTCAAACACTAACCGGTCTGCATGAGAGGCTCAAACAATTACAGCTATTGATTGAGGGTTTCCTTCTGATGTGTTGCTATGACAAAGAATCTGCCATTCTTTGAGCTGCATGAAGGCATGAACATTTTATTCCTTAAATAAATTCCAAGTTGATGGGTTAGGGTTCCTTATGCAGATGAAGATAAAACAAAGAATTGAGAGGCAAAGGGAAGGAAGAAGAAGACACTTATTAGGTGAAAACTGAAAACAGAGTTTTAGTAACAGAACAAAACAGAACACCTAGATGCTTTTTATCCCCTTTTTTTTTCTTTTTCTTTTCCCAGAAATTCTTGGTGGGGACAAATGTGGGTTCTGAGACACAAGCTGAAACCGAAACTGAAATTCAGAGTTGGGAATGAGGGTTCAAAGATTCTTTCTACAGAAGAGTGATAATTTTAGCTTCCCTTTTTCTTTATTTTTGTTAATTTATGCATAAATACATATACATATTTGCATCTAATTATTTAATTATAAAAATATATGCATAAGAATTAAGAACAAGTCAAGATTAGAGTGGGCTTCTCTTTAAAGATGTTGGCTAGATTCTAATTGATGTTTTGTATTCTAATTTGTGGTGGAATACTTCTAAAGAGTGGGCTGATTGTTCACAGGAGTTTTTCTTATTTCTTTTTTTTTTATTTTTTTTCTTTCTGGCTATTTTTTTCAACTTTCAGTGAAATAAGGAGCCTTGGAGAGTGGAAATTTCTGTGAGTTTATTTAGGATAGCTTAACTGTTGTTTTATTTATTTTACACTATAATTAAGTTTTCTGGTTTATAAGCATTGCCTTAATATCAGTTGGCTGATGGTATTTGAAATTTGTTTTGAAGTCAATGAAGTAGGATATTTTTTAGCTGCATGAGGGTTTCCTTCTGACGCATTGCTGTGACAAAGAATTCCTTTGAGGGCCGCTGAGATATGAAACTTTTATTTCTTAAATAAGCTCCAGGTTGAGAATTTATGGTTCCATATGCAGATTTTGCCTTGTTATTTTTCACCATTATCTTTGAATTCGTTTATGCAGCTGGTAAATGATGCCAGACTTTGAGACTTATTGAGGTATGAACATTTCTCCACTTGCATTTAAATTTTTCTGTAGTTTTTGAAGAGTTATAGGGGAACCGGGAACCTTGTATTTTCTGTGTTTAGAAAATGGGGAGACCATTGTTCTTTGGGTGTTGAAACATGAAGCTATAATGGCTATACATTCAAAACCCATTGGATATGGAGAATCCACAAGGGCTATGATTGGAAAAAAACCCTCAAATACAAGCACATTTGGGTGGAGGGTGAGTCAAAAGTAGTGGTGGGCTGGTTCAGAATTCAGACAAAATATTTTGGGAACTTGGAAATATAGATATTACATAAGAGAAGTTCAAGATTGGCAGCTGAACTGAATGCCACCTTCCATTAGACATATCAGAGTGCCAATTCCATGGCAAATGCCTTGGCTCAGCAAGGAGTCCATAGGCTCAAATGTTCTCGGGGGAAATTGAACTGGGGAATTAGTTGTGAACAGTCCTCAATAACAAGGGGTAGGGAGGTAACTAGCCTACAAAAAAAGAGGTGCTTGGCACATTTCTGTTGTATATAACTATTTTAATGCTATAATAAAATTTTATTGTTCACTGATCAAAAAAGAAAAAAAAAATAATTGATCTATAAGAAGAATATGGATACAAAAACACTATAATTTTGTCAGTTAAAGCTTACAAATGATATTATATTGTCCTAACACACGAGAAAATATAAATTTGGGAATGATGAACATGTAGCTAGTGGGGGTCATGCAGAAGATGAATTTCCAGTAATCAATTCTTCTAGTCTCACCTAGGAGATCTACTAGACTGACAATTTCCCATCCTGACAGATTACTCTAACATCTGGAAACCTTTTTGATACTGTTGCACTGCTGTAAAAGTATGTGAGGCAAATGATTTGAGCATAATATGTTGTGGGACCCAGGACCTAAGGAAGTCTAGAAGTTCATCTAGTGAACTAAGAGGTGGTTCTCAAGAACAGAGGAAGGTGCTCAGGATAAGGGTTGGATGGAAGGAGACAAAGCGTTATTGCTTGGAAAATGGTAATAGATATTTCCAACTTAACAACAGAATGCAATATTTAATGGTCAAAAGCAAATTTTGCCTTTACCGAAATTATAGTATTTAGAATAGAGCATCTCTTGTTTTACCTTGTAGTTGGAAATTAATCAGTTCTTCCATTCTATTTTTTCTAATCACATCATATTACATTTATGACATTGACTCCTGTAATAAAGCTAGATTCTGGGAAGACATGGATGGGTGAAGTTTCCCTCTGCTAGAAATTTTGTGACTTCACTCAGTTTTCCTTTGCAATTTTGCATTTCAAATCTGGAACCAGTAATGCTTCCTTTAATATCCAACTTTCTTCTCATAAGAAAGACTTGCCTCTCTCTCTCTGAGTGATCCATTGGGGTACAGACTGTTCTGAACGTCTTTGTTCATGAAAAGTGGACCACAGTGATCAGATCGCATTCATATCCTCATAGGGCATGGCGTTTGTATTATGTCCTTTCATAGTGTGAACTCAAGCTAAAGATTGATAGTAGATTGGTATTTAATTTCTAGAAAAGGCCATGTCTAAGTTGGGGTTTGGGAGCAAGTGGATAAAATGGGCCATGGAGTGTGTAACATCAGTTTCCTATACCTATCAAAAAAACATCAGTTTCCTGTCAAATCTTAATAAATGGTAGCCCAGGCAACAGATTTAAACCTGAGAGAGGGCTTCGGCAAAGAGACCCTTTTTCCTTTTGTTCCTCTTGTGTTCTGAAGTTCTCTTTGTCAGGCTTTCTAGAATGGGGACTCAAAAGAAAATCTCTGGCATAAAGATTACTGGAAATTGTCCTTCTGTATCTCATTTATTTTAAGCAGACAACAGCTACATCTTTTCTAAAGCTGACTTGAAAGAGTGACAACACCTATTGGATACTATCAGAATGTATGAGCCTCAGGTCAACAGGTAAATTTTTCAAAATCTGAGGTTTTCTTTAGCAGAAATACGCACCCAAAACCGCAAAAAATGTTGCTCGGTTTCTCA